ATGGTGTCACATGACTGTGTCCGGGATCGGCGTCATTGTTCTGTTCTAGTTGAACGTTGTTGTTTTTTTGTGCCCCGCAGTCCTAACTACTTTTGCAGTTACGCGTTTTTTGTCCAGAAAACTAGAGTCCGATGTACTTACTGGAGGTACTTCTGCGGGGCCTGGGAGTTTATCATTTTGTTTACGCTAGTCTGTGTATTTCTTTTTGTTAGTGTCAGAAATAGAATACTGGCTAGAGGTTCAGTTGAGGGACCGGAGTGCTCATTATCGTGTTTGTAACTGGTGCCCTCTCACCGAAATTTGCGTATTTGCATCTGTGTCAAATATTGACCTGCAAATGTGTTTAGTTTCCGCAGACTTCTTTTTAATTCGGGGTTTTGTAGGAAAAGCTCAACATCGGTCTGTGAGTAGAAGGTTACTAAGAACGGTTTATTTTTGCTCATAGAGTGAAGTCTTTTGGTGGTAGCTATGCGGATGTTTAGGTCGCACGAATGCATAGGCTTTCGAATTGATGATTTTAGGTAAAGCGCACGGTGTATATTGCGGTAAACTAAATTGAGTCTGCATTTGGATCTCTCCGCGACTCCTGATGAAACCAAATGTATGATCGACTGTATGTGTGGCATGCTCGTCAGGCTGTACGCAAATGTATTTGAGCCCTCTTAGCAAGTCGAAAATCGTAAAAATGTGTTCATGTTTATCGGTAAAATTCTGTAAACGCACGATGGACGGAAGATCTACTTTGTCGTTAGCGAACTTAACATCAATCATGGTTAATTGAAGAGAGTGTATGGGGATTTATGTGTTATTCTCGATATATAACAAAGATCTGTTGAAAGGTGACGCATAAATATGTCAAATATTTAATTATAAACAAATTTCAACTAATCTAGGATCTGAGGATTTCGAACAGTTGTGCACAACCAGTTCTTCGTCCAACCCTCTGGTTCGATTGATTATGCAACGTTTTATTAGTCTTTATTTGTATTGGACAGGTCCTTTTCGATTTTTAAATGTCATTTTGTGTGATGAAAATATTCGTTTTCTTGTCTCCGTCCCTGGATTTTTCCCTCCTAGCTGCCCTAAGACTAACGCACACTTCCATATTTCTCCTGAGAAAACAATTTTCTCGCCAGGATTTTATGTCATTTTCGATGTAAACAAAAGACTAATAAGACCCCTGGGAGTACTTAGTTTGATACAAATTCTACACCTTTGCCACTGACTGTCTTGTCATGTTTTACTGGGCTGAAACACAAACAGAAAAGACAATAACCGTCCCTGACAGGTTGGACCTTGCTTATTCGTAGGGTCGTTTGTCTGTGCATTCGTAATCCAGCTATCTTTTGCGTAACCTTTCTGTTAAGTTATAATATCCTTGTGTTCGTTGGCGTCCGTGTTTATAAACACTCTCGCGGTTAGCTTCTTTAATGTGCATGCCGCTCCTCCCACCGATGCATACAGCTAATTCGGAATCAGTTGACCCTCATATCGTTTTTTGTCCTACGCAAATCCTGAACTGTATAAAGTAGGTGGGTTGAAAGATATGAGGGTCCGTAAAATCTAGCCAGTTGCCTCCTCTTTCGCAGTGCCTAAGTTAATACACTGCGCCAATATTACCGAATGTATCAAAGCAATTCGTCTTAGAGGAATGAACCCACGGGATAGTAATCAACCATAAAACTAACCCATCCTTAATTAGTATGCTTCAGTTATAGAAAATAGCACAACATAGGTCATTTGTACATTTTTGCGTCGGAGCCTCCACCCCACCTTCCGCACAACATTTTGTGGGCCCCCTGTTTCCACCCATATCTCCGTATCTACCTATTATTTGTGTAAATACATCTAAAATACGGGGAAACTGTGACTTCACGCCTCTGCACATTATCCTGTCGCCTTTATCGTTACCTTTTCTAGCCTAGCGTACCAGTACCCTAATAGCGTGTCGATATCGACAGGATATTGCGTAAACACCGACATGTTGAGATACTTTTATCGCCTAGATATCGAATTTGGCCACGTTTCCGACACACATCTGAGATCGGCAAAATTGAGCGACGTAGACTGAAAAAAAGTTGCTGGACTATGCACAACAGATAAATATTTGATGTAAGGTCCTTGTAAGCTGTTTACAGTTCTTATGTGCTTGATTTTGTGCTTTGTCACATTAACACACATATTTAACACACCTATGAGTATTTGGAGACCATAGAATGCCTCCCGGCTAAAATTGTCACTTCGGAGGAATTCACTGTTTAATAACTCAAGAATATGTAGTCAAACGACTGCAAAGTAAGTGCTTGGGTCCTTAGCAATAGGGTCGCCGCTGATTCAAAGTCGCTACTCGCGCCTCCACTACAGCGATATCAATGAAGACGGATACAAATGCTGTCTTATTTCGACAGTGTTGGCTATTCTTTAATCCAAAAGCAGACTGTAATCTCGCGCGAATTCGGTGCTTTGTGTACGAATTCTTGCCATATATTAGAATAATTTGGGCGAAAATCTAGCACTCAAAATGTCATGCCTAATTTAATCATACTACGGCTCTTCGCGCACTTTGTTGTCGAGTAATAGCTGCCACAGTTAAATTAAATTGTCGGATATTGCCGAATAGTGGCAGAGATACTATCAAAATATCATCACTGCGCGCATAAAAACTTCTGGAACAGCAATACTGTTTCGATATTTTTAGAAAAAAACAATAAGTTGTTTTAGTTGACGCCAAATCGACAATTGTGCGGTCTAGACCGCCTTACATTTGGACAAGCTCGGTTTTAGTTTCTCTACAACCCTCACAACTCAACTAGGAGCAAAGCCTGTCACATCTTCTTTCCTAATTCTTTATTGAACAAACTCATGAAGACTATTAGATCACACAAGAACGCTTTCTATCACCACCAGTGTCCTTTTTTGTGAACGAAAACTGTTTTTTTCTCTCGACCCTTATACTGCTGTCAAAAAAGATTTGTCATATCCCATGCAGTCTAGCCGTCCAGAAAACACTTTCTTTGATAGTGCAACGTACCTCGTTCCGTAAATTAAATTAATTTCGTTTCTGAATGTGATCAGAAACGCTTTATTTCGCGTGCAGAGTAGAAGTGTACAGAGGCAATAAGCACTTTCGGTGTAAAATGATGTAATTGGTTCAGTAGGTGGACAAACAGAGACAAGGGATGTTGTCGAGGACGATTGGTGAGATCTGCAATCTGCCCCATAGGCTCCTTACTTTCGGCTGAATGCTCATGGCTAGCACGCCTGTGCGCGCCAACTAAATGCATCAATTCTATTTGTTTTCTCCACCAAAATCGTCAGTCTAGATTATGGACAGACATTTGCCAAGAGGGCCCAAACAGACACGCACCGAATTTCATAGATTTTAACGCTGCTATTTGAATAGTGGTGAGGTTCATACGCTAGCATCGAGCTTCTTAGAATTAGTAATACCTTTTGATCGACAATGCTGATCGGGTTAGTGATACTAATTAACGATATGAATTACTTTATTTTAGCAATGGACCGACAATTCCGCGAACTTAGAATCGATGGAGATCGCGAAAGCAGTTACGGGAGTGTTTTTTCCGTGTCTGGTCCAGGTAGGTTTATCCTTACCTGTACGTACTGACGCATTTCCTTCACAGTTTTCTGAGATCTGTTTGCCATTTTCCTCCATTCATAGTTGTGACTGCTGAGAGGATGGCAGGTTCAGCCATGTACGAACTGGTCCGTGTCGGACACGACAACTTGGTTGGCGAGATTATTCGATTGGAGGGAGACACTGCAACGATCCAGGTCTACGAAGATACGTGTATCCTTTTTGCCATTTTTTGCATCGATGCAAGCCATAATCTTTTTTCTCATGCGCTTGATGTCACTTAGACTCCGGATGCTTTTGGTCTCTTTATCTGCCATTTTACGATGCCATCTTCTCCAGGTTCGCCGACGTGCCCTCTAAGATAGGGCCACCCCGAGTGATGTGTTAGTTTCCCTAACTCTTCTTCCCAATAGCTGGCGTAACTGTTGGTGATCCTGTACAAAAAACTGGCAAACCGCTCTCCGTCGAGTTGGGTCCGGGTATTCTAGACAGTATTTTTGACGGTAAGCCAGATCTGACTTCCCCTTGTTTTAGTCTTGGCTTTTATGGTTTGCCATGTCCATGGGGGACGGTCAGTCAACGAAGCCGATTATTCGCGGCAGACTTAATTATTCTTAAGTTATTGAGACTTGTGAAATTGGGCTGGCGAGTACGTGAGAGCATTCGGGGTCTTCATCATGAGTAACCCAACTCTGATGATCCCGACCTTCCTTCTTCTTTGTTGACGGGTGTCATCCATCCCATGTCTTTTAGTCGCCGCTGGACAACGGTCTACTTGTTGGTCCGGGGGTCTGTTGTTGCACGAATTATTTCGAGGAACAGATAACAGTTTAGAAGTTCGGGGCGGAACTACAGAGTCATCCCAAAGGAATCTGGTTCGTCTCGTGAATGATCCTCACATGAAGAGTCGAAGTGCTGAGTAGACGTGACTTATTTCGTAAATAAAGACACGTCAAAACGACCTTCTACTAAAGTGATTGTAACTTCTACGTTTTATTTCCTTGCAAATTCCTGCTCATTGTTGCTCTAGTGAGCCAAACCTCATGACAGCCGTCATTGGGGACTGCATCCACACGAAACATAAGAAGTTTCTCCACTACAGTAGACCTGGCGCGCTCGAATCTACAGTAACCCGCTAAGAGTCATGGTTTGAGTGGTTGGTATCTAAGTAGATAACTCATTCCTCATAACTAGAGGACTGAGGGTCAGGCTGTAGCAGCTTTTTCAACGTGACCTTCCAGCACTCATTCACACGAGGCCCGAGTCGTTCAGGACGTGCGTGGCACGGGTAGACGGCTACTCCCGGCTAGTTGAGTGAGAGGAGACAGCGCGCGGGAGATGTTAAGGAAGTTCGCCTCATTCAAAACTAATTTATGCGCTCATTCCTTGGGGCACGCGATGGGAAACGTCGCTCTGTCAAATCTGACTCAACAACGTCATCTATTTCGGTGACCCAACGCACACACACACACCTTTGGCAATTCATCTTTTTCAACAGTGGCCGTTCAGCCCATTAGGGCTATGGTTGGAGTGTTAGGGCACTGCAAATTTTTTTGTGTAGTACAATCCGGTGGAATATGGTTGTTCGGAACATGCTTTGGCAATAAAATTCGTGAGAAATATTCAACAGCTGTCTTCACAATCCTCTCCAACGTGTTTGTGTTCATGGTTGTAATTTGTCCGCCCTGCAACGTTCAGAGACAGTTTGCGCAGGTGTGTAGTCTTCGATAATTTTCCTTAATGCTTTGACGGTTTATGTGGAGATGTTCAACGAGGCCAGTCCGAACCTTCACCATGAATGTTCAAAAAATACGGTGAATTCGGTCACTGAAGGCCTTTTTGTCGTTGCCTAGCTTCCTTTATCTGGTTGACTTCGTAGCTTTTAACTCTTTCGTCGCGACTGATCTCCATGCCTGCTGATATCGAGACTTTTTAGCGTGTCCTTATGCTCTTTTTTCCCTTCTCGTCTACAGCAGCAGCCGGTCTTAAGCCATAGGGTCGTGTTTTTATATATACTCTCCACTCGTTGCGCAGGTATTCAGCGGCCGCTGCAGGACATTCGCGCGTTCACCGACTCCATATACATTCCAAAAGGCGTTAGCGCGCCGTCGTTGGACCGAAAGATTGCCTGGGAGTTTGACCCCATGCCAAACCTGCGTGTTGGCATGCACATCACCGGTGGCGATATCTACGGCACGGTGAATGAGAACAGTCTTGTGCAGCACAAGCTTATGCTGTCTCCGAAGGACCAGGGTACCATCCGATGGATTGCCCCGCCCGGGAACTACACCATCTTGGTGAGCTTCTCACCTCTTTTGTCCCACTCTCTCTGCAAAATCCTTCCTTCTTCCCGCCGCTCCGTGATCTTTGTCCCCCGTTTTGTCAAGTGCTCATCCCGCCTTAGTCTGTGAAATCTCCGTCACTCTACAGTTTAATTTTATGTACAGTAGGTGGGCTAACACATGAAATGTCAACTGAAATTCCGAAATGCGTTTTCGCTTCTAAAGGATTAATTAAGTAGGGTTGTAAAACTAATCATCTTGCAGAATAATTCTACAATAATTCATTGACCTGAGGATGTCGGCTTTCGAACGAACTTCCTTCCCGCTGCATGCAAAAACTACACTTTGTAAAAAGTGACTACTTAAGTAGCATGCGTTTTCCTCACTGATTTTCGATGCCCCTAAAAGTCCAATTAGATTACATAGAAAACATGCACAAAATATTCATTTTTTTTCGCTCATTCGGTAGAAAATTACATCTTTCAATTTGCTACTCGATGGAAGGACATAATTCGGTTTTAATTGTGGGACTTTAATACCGTGAAATGGCCGTTCATAAAACGTCATATCTCTGCATTTATCAATGTGGCTTGTAAAGTTAACAGTAGAGTTCAAATCCACTGCCAAATTGTATGAACGCTATATGGTCTCCTCTTAATACCGTAGGGAAATGTGTGGTTTTCCATGCGTGAAAAATGCATGGCTTGTAGTTTGGAAACCCTGAATGCAAGCGTGACGGCAGAGCGGGTTCAAAATTACTCGGGAATTGGAAAAGTTTTTGAAAACCAAAGAATACCCTTCTTTCGAGTATAAGATCGGAAGAAGACGTAATTTATACCGAATAGGTAAAAGAATGAATATGTTTGTGCATGTTTTCCATTAAATATAATTGGACTTTTGGGGGCATCGACAATCAAAGAAAAGAATTCATGCTACTTAAGTAGTCATTTTTTACAGTAGTCATTTTTCGCAGGAAGTTCTTTTGAAAGCCGGCATCCTGAGGTAACTGAATTTTTATAGAATTATGCTGCAGACTGCTTAGTTTTATAACCCTACTTAATTAATCTTTTCGAAACGAAAGCACATTTCGCAATTTTGGTTGACGTTTCGTGAGTTAGGCCACCTACTGTATGCGTGAGGAAGAACCTTACGACCCTTCCGTTTTACTCTGTAGGACAAAGTCCTGGAGACAGAGTTCGACGGCGAAGTGACGGAGCACTCGATGCTGCAAGTCTGGCCTGTCAGAACTCCACGCCCGGTTGCGGAGAAGCTGCCCGCTAATAATCCTCTCCTCACTGGTCAACGCATCCTCGATGCCCTCTTCCCGTGAGTGCATGCGCATTGCTGTTTATTCTGTAACTCTAACAGGAACGCATAGGAATCCCCCTTTTTGCTGATGCTGTCTGTCACCATCTCTCCCTCCCCCCGTGAATGTTTGAAGTCCCATAAGATTGATATTGACGCTCACCGACGTTTCCTGATTACGAGTCGAAATACGGGCGTTTCTGTCTTGCGACGAGCAGTCAGTACTCACTTCTACCATATAGACAGATTTTCATACGAGACTCCCACGCGGTTTTCAATATTTTCATTAGCGTCCAATCAGGACGCGAGTCCGTCTATCAGTTGTGAGGCGGCTGACTTGTGCTCGCTAAAGAGAGATCCCACGCCCGGACTCCGAACCTTTTCAGGCGTGTCTGGCTGACGATCCCAAATGAGGGCCAAAACTACCGTTTTGGTAATAGTAGCACTTTTCAGGGAGTGAGCTTGCTCGTTTGCCTGGCTATGGGCAGTCCGGCGCTTCCACGGCTGACGCATGGTCGAACGGCCTCCAGCAGAGGCTGGCTGCGAAATAAGCAGGCTGTCGCGTCTGACAAATTAGCATCAGTTGTGATCAACATAAACACTGCTGCCAGTACGTAGAGGGCTGCGGTTTGGCATTTTGACTGTCTCATAAAGTAGCAGTAAGCCAGGCGATGGCACTCTGACACGGTACTTTGCACTTGTTCTTGATACGGCTTCGATCTTGCCTGATCTAGCCGGCCTCGATGATGTCACGAACTGTACCTCTGCACGCGTGACGATCCGCGACAGCAGCTCTGGACAGCCCAGCCCATTCCCTTCGCCAACGACGTAGACCGAATAGCGAAGGTCCACGAACCACCTGCATGTCTTGACGAACTGTGTTGAGCTAGGTTTTGAACTGACCCCCTCTTCGACGCTTCCAATGGGGCAACGGTGCCAGATCGAGGGCAGTAACACAAAGCTCCTGAGGTGGACGACGAAGATCATGCCCGAACCACCTCAGTCGTATTTCTTGGATGGCCTGAGTTATCCTTACAATGTTGTCGCAGCGAGCGCGAACTATCTCATTTGAAACAAAGTCGGTGAAGGATGGTCCTCAAGCAGTGGTGGTCAAATACCTCCAGTTTTCGTTCGTCCTCCACGCGGAAAGCCCAGCAATCACAACCGTAGAGAAGGACAGACCGGTCAGATGCACGGTACACGCGAATCTGACACGGTCACCGTGAACCGTCGTCAAAGAAGTGCTCCTGCCACGGTTCCTGCACCGAGGCGCCGGAGGCAACAGTTCCAAAAAAGCCCTCCGAGAAACTGTGGGGGTCCAGCCTTTGCCAAAGTATCTTATAAAAAATGTTCGAACACTGTAATACGATCCATGCTGTGGCGTCTGCAGAAACGAAGGCGCTCAACAGCCCAGATCCAACTGCGTGAGCAAATAGTGTTTGAAATGGACTACTCAACTGAAACTGAGCTTTTAGTCGTAAGTGCAGAATGCGAGAACAGTCTTCTACCCAACTTCTGACTTTATGTGGTCTTCAACATGGATATCTGTTGCTCGTTTGAGAAGTTCGGATCAGGTTCTCAGGTGCCGGGAGTCAAAAGCATCCCACCTGACCTCGCTAGCATACTCTCTCTCTCTCTCTCTCTCTCTCACACACACACTCGGAGCAGGTGAACCATCCGCTGCCAGCATCCAGGAACTCACCCCATCGACGGAACCAGTCAATGTCAGGCCAGCTTGCGTATGGCTTCGAAGGCGCTCTACTAACACCTCTGTCGTTTTCGCCTACGCGCCGACATCAACAGCCGACCAGCACGTCTAACCCTCCATCCACGCGCGCCAAAAGACTCACTTGCCGTGATCTGCTGATTGTGGCTAGTAATTGGAACAAGTAAACTGCATCAACCGATTCCTCAAACGGTTATTTCATAGGTCGCTTTGAGCTTTGTTCTCGATGCGATAGTAGTGATAGGTTACTGAACACCGCTGGCCGAAAAACTGACCTTTTGTCAGAACACGCGCTTCCGACATCGCTGTAAAAATGTGATGGTCTGGCATTCAAACGATGTTCCTGCAGCCAACCAGCTTTGTAGTTGGATGCATGTTGCCAAAACGGGTCAAACCGACGGTTTATAGGAAGGCAACGAACACCACACAGCTTCTCAGTTTTCACAGCAACCATCCGGTGGGTCACAAACGAAGCTGTGTGAAGACGCTCTTTAAACGGATCCAAACTCATTGCAGCAAACCGGAGGACAGAGCACGTCAGGCCCGCTATCTCCGCGACCAGTTTGTGCAAAATGGCTATCCGAGGACATTCATAAGCCGCTGCCTACGCGGTCGCGACCAGAGAACTCGAACGTCAATGCCACCGACGATATGGCATTCTCTGCCATACATAAAGGGGTCATGAAAATCAAAGACCGGTTAAAGCCTGAAGAGCAATCTGGAGTAGTGTATTGCATTCCGTGTCAAAATTGTCCTTGTAACTGCACAGGACAGACTGGGCGCATGCTCGGATCGCGCATACACGAACATAAGCTGGCTGTGCGACGAGGCGACGCATTATCACAAGTAGCCGCCCACGCCTGCGAAATGGGTCACGAGTTTAACTTCGCAGCCACCAAAATAATCGCCCACGCTGAAAACAAAACAGGCCGAGAATTGATTGAGGCCTGGGCCTCGGATGAGAACTCGGTCAATCGATTCATCGACCTGGCGCCGGCGTACAGAGCCCTGCGTAGTCACCTTCAGTCTTGCGCCGTCGGCCGATGATTGGCCTACATGCCTTATAACTGTCGCTTGTTCTGTTGCTGCTACTACCTCTGACAATGGACTCCTGTACGAGTCTGAAAGCTCAGGACAATAAACAAAGTGTTCCGGTGCTCGACTCTTCTTTTTCTCTTATGGTCAAACCGTGTTCTTGTCCGCACACACACACACACACACATACGACCGTTTGACCGTCGTTGCCGACGATGTCCACCGTGTGTCCCACAGCAAGGTGCAGCAGGCATGGCGACTTGCGCGTGAATTAGTTTACAGTGATGGTAGACTTGCGCAGTATCTACCGCACTCCCTCCTCCTCTTCCACCTGGACTCGGAGTCAAGAAGACCGGAAGCGGGGGAGGGTACTGGTGGATGGCACGGTCGAGCCCGCATCTTGGCGTTCAATTCCACACCCCTGGTCCACACAGCAAATGACCAGGTTTTTGACGAACAACAAGGGGGGGGGGCGCAACTTACGCCGGAAACCGGGTCTGCCACCCCACTCCGAACTGTTGGCATTTGTGCAGTTCGACAACGCCTGCCAGAATCCCCCGTTTTGGTCCAGCACGTCTACCACGTGGTCCGTTTGGGGGACGCGCGCATCTGAATGTTCATCTCTCAGTCGCGCCCAAAATGCCTCGTGAATGCTGCCTTGACTTCGTAAAATTTTTCCAGCCCAGACAAAGCTCAGTACACTAAATCGGGGGGCAGGTCCCATTACAATGGTCCGAAAACGTTAACAAGAGATGACCGGGAGAAGTATTAGTTCAAAGCTATGACTTCTATTGAGCAAGTCTCAAACGTCTGCTAGCCGGGTTGGTGTAGCTGTCCGGCTCCCAATGACTCCGTTCGTGACGTGAACAGCGGTTCACTTGCGGACAGTTCGGGCACTGGTCTTCTCGACCAACGTGTCCTGCAGAGCTGATTTGCATCCTTCTCCATACTTCGTCCCTCCTTTCCACGAGGGAATCAACACAAAGGCGCCCATAGTGGACGGCGTCTCAAATGAAGTGGACGAGTTTCGTGTCGACGCAGTGGCGCCTAGATACAGGAGAGGACTAAACAAGGGCAGAACGATGAGAAAATTCCGAATGACTGGAGATCGGTCATCCCTGTATCCGTCCTCAAGAGAGGAAGTAAGAGAAATGTGAGACTCATCACAACAAGGCCTTCAGTGATCGTCGTTCTCGGGCAGCCTTAAAATGTGCCCGACTCGAATACGAGATCCAACCGAACCGGGTTCTGAACTGAACATGGATGCGCCTATCAGGTATTCACACTGTGAGCGACTGACGACCACCCGTCCGCTTTGTTTATTTCACCGGGACGTTCGATTCCCGCCACCGCGAGTTCCTGTCGCGGACAATGGAGTTAGATGGCGTGTCCGTAAAAAAGCCATCGCCATAACCAAGGCTTACAATGGTTTGCCTTCTGCGCGAGCTCTGATCAACAGAGATGCATCCAAACCATTCGATATTCACTCTGACGTTCGACAAGGTTGTATTATGTTGCTCCTTCTGTGAAACTGTGCCATTGGTCGGATTCTCTGAGAGGCGGTGTTGAATTTGCACTCGAAAGCCGACCGACCGACTGACCTTGACTGCGTCAACATTGTCACCCTGCTGGCGTCGAGCTCTAATGACCTGTAGAATGTGCTGTTGCGGATGAATATGGTGGCTAAATCAGTGCTCTCCAGTTACATCACTGGCCAGAAGGGGACACCTCCAGTATCTAATGGCTGCCGACTTGAAAAGTAGACGGCTTCAAATTCCTCAGGGCGAGGCTGCCGCCGTATAGACAGAGTGAGGACGACATTGTCTCACGAATGGATGCTGCTCATGCGGTTTTCAAAATTCTTGGAATGTCTGTAAATCTGACGTGAAATCTCCATCGCCATAAAGATTCGCGTGTACCGTATATCTGTTGAGCTGTGCGTGAAAGATGGGCGAAAACTGGGGATGTTTGGATGCAGTTGCCTGAGAACCATCCTTAGAATGGAGTAAATCGACTTTACCCTGAATGCGATAGTCCGCACTCGTTGCAGGAAGGCCATCCAAGAAAGATGACTAAGATGCTATAGTCGAATTGGTCAGATGTGGTTATATAACACCACCTGAAGTAAACAAACCCCAGACACCTGGAACACGGGATCGGTGGTAATACGGGTTTTTACAGGTGGGGCCGGGGAACGCACAGGCGACGAGGTCAAGCAGTTGTATGCAAAACAAAAGCTAGTGGGAATTGGCGGTTGTACTTTG